GGCCTTTGCCACCTGCAGACCCCCTCCCACGTGCACAGCTTCCTGCCTGACTCAGCCAGCAGACGGCCCACGCAAAGTGCCACATCTGGGAAGCCCTTCCAGATAGCTCTCGGCCACCGCACCAAGAACTCACCTTCACCTATGCACTACCCCCTCCCTTGGGACCCTGCTAGGCAGCCCAGCTCTGCCCACGCACGCTCAGCTGCCCTGAGCCAAGATGCATGCTGCCCTGAGTGCATGAAGCCCCAGCACTGGGGGTCTCCCTATCTCCCCACCCTCCGTCACCCCCGAGAATCCTCTCAAAGGGAGAAAGCTGGGGGTCAAATGGATGATGGTGCATCGAGGAGGGCCAGGAAAGGGCCGCGCATGCTGCCCAGGCCAGGGAACTGAGGCAGGGAGTACAGGAAGTATCCTCAGCCACTGCCCTGGACCCCCAAAGGTCTGCTGTCCATCACTGAGGTGTGCCCTCCCCTGCACCTCCATGGCACCTGTCAGAGCCTGCCAGCGGGCACTAGCTCCAGCTGGCCTTTCACACAGCGTCTCGTGAGAGGCCAATCCGAAAAGTTCCATGTCTCAGATGAGAAAACAGAGGCACAGAATTCACAAGCAGCTAGGATAGACACAGAGGTTAGCTTCGAGGTCCCAGCCCCATGGCCCAGCGACTTCTGTAACACCTCACACACTGGCAGCAGGGTAAGGGCCCCGGTGCCACTCAGGAGGGAAGTCGGCTGCAGCCACCTGCTCCCAACAGCAAGGGGAGGCAGGATTCAGAACAGAAACAGCCGCTCCGGCTCCAGTCCAGCACCTGTCTCTCCAACAGGTCCTTGAGGGCTGTGAGGGGCAGGCGCACACACCAATCACACATACTCACAGTGCACACACATGGACACATGATTCTGCACTGCACACACGCACAACGTGCACACATATACGCACACATATGTGCACATGACACACGGGCACACAACACACATGCTTGTTCATACTGCACACCATACCACACACATGCTCACACACGGCACATGCACACACAGTGCACACACGGACACGCACACAGCAGTACACACACGTGTATACACGTGCACATAACACACGTGTGCCTGCACACACACACACACACCCCCCCCCCCCACTCTCTCCTCACTCTTTCACGTGATGCCTGGGAACAGGGCCGGGTCCAGATCCTTCCACAGGACCAGCTCTGGGCAGCCTGGGGCCATGTAAAGTGTCCCCATTTCACAGCATTGTGCACCTGGGGCCTTGTTTTCAACCACAGACCCTGTCCTGCAACAGGGAGGAGCTTAGCCGGGAGGCAGGACCTCCCTCCCCGGCCCCCACCCCATCGAGTTTGTTGTGGCTGCCTTGGGTGCAGATGAAAGGCAACAGTACGTCTTTAAGGAGCCAGCGCAGCACGGGCAGCGGGGCAGTAAAAAGGCTGATGCCTGTTCTGGAGAAGGAGTTTAATCTAATTTAGTTGGAGGGCGTCTGTGTGCAGTGTTGTTTTTCGGAGTGTGGGAATAGCGGAGAGGGGAGGCCCAGTTGAATGGGCCCTCTGCGCCAGGAGCAGTGGGGAGCCTGGTGGACGCCAGTGATCCAAAGCCAGGCCTTGAAAGGGGATTAGAGAAATGGTCTCATTTGCAATTCACGCCGATGCCCCCCACGGAACCCTTGGTAATATTTCAAACCCCTTTTCAAGGGAAGTGGCCTTAACATAGCTGCCTCCACGGCCCCAGAGGCCCAGTGGCCGCCCGCTGCGAGGTGTGGGTGAGCCACCGTGGGCTTGCCCCACCCCACACACCCGCCCCTCACACGCAGGTGTCATTAATGTCCCCTGCCTGTCGGATGGGCCACAGACGCGCGGTGGCCTCACTGCTGGGCTGCTCCCCCCCGCCCCAGAGACCCCTGGGGGAAAGTGTGGGGTGAGGTGGGGCAGGGAGCAGCCATCTCCCCCACCCCCGAATTTTGTCTCTCATCCTGAGGTTCTTTGGGGTTCAGCACAGGACGGGGAGGGGGGTGTGGGCAGCTGTGGGTAAAAATATCACATTCTAATCTGACTCCAAGGTAGCCTGGAAAGCCGACGGTGCCCAGCAGGTCCCGCTGGCACCCGAAGCCGGAGAGGCCAGGACGGCAGCAGGACCCGCCAAGCCCAGGGCTCCCGAAAAACCTTAAGCTTTTCAGCTCAGAATTTACCAACAGGCCTCTCCTGCGTGGATTTTTCCCCCCTAAGCTTCACTCCTATTCCGCACGGTTACTCTTCCCATTAGCTTGTAACACGCTAAGCGTGCGGTTTAATTTCTTTTATTGCTGTGAGCCTCCGCACTTTTCATCTTAAAGACATTATTCGGGTTTTCTCTAATCCCGTTTCAGAAAGCCAGGCGCACGGTGCTTACAATTTCCATTGAGTATTACATAATACGAGAAGATAGAACTTTGACTCGCAGCACTGCCCGTGTCTTTCCGACTCTGCTAGCTTACGCGGAAAGGGCTGCGCCTCTGGTTCCCCGTCCCCAAGTCCAAGAGGACGGACGGCCGGGAGCCCCTTCCCGGCGCGACCCCTGCAGAAAGGCTACCTCGCCAGAGCCCTGCTCTCCCTGGCACGTTTGCAAGAGCGAGCCGCGTTGGGGGGTACTGTGGACACCTCTCTCTGTCTAGGTTTGAAAGGTGGCCGGGGTTAACGTATATATTTATATTTATCCCTCATTCCTCCATTATTTGGAATCATGTTTAATTATAAAGTTTCATTAAGAACCTTTGCTCAAAATTTTAGAGGCCTAACAAGATTTCCATTAATTTAAACATATCGCTATTCCCACCACGGCCCCCATGCTTTCTTTGCCCGCTTTCATCCATGGTTAAATATGTAAATAAAATGTCTAAAGTCATTCTTCAAAGAAGACAAAAGAAAAAAGAGCTGAGGAGAAAGACAGCCATAAAATTCCTCCCCATTCTCCATAACATTTGCCGGAGGGGGGCCGATTGCCAGCCCGGCCGAGCAGCAGGGGACCGGCCGCCGCTCCGAATCACGCCGCTCCAATCCCACACAGCAAAGAAAATAAAATAAAATATCTTTTCAGCTGCAGCCATCAAAAGGCCCTTTTCATTTATTAGTTCCAGAGCTATCTTCCAGGGGCTCGCTCCCTTCCCCAGGATAGCCAGGACCGGTGGCTTCCGACACAGCCGGGCAGAGCCAAGCTCTTCTGCACACATTTTTATTTAAAAAATAAAAAAAAAAAAAGGAAACTGAAGTGGCCATGGCTAAAATAATAGGTCTGAACATGGCGGAATTGAAATGGCACATAAAAGACCAATTAGGGGCACTTTCCCCAAGAGCTCGCGTCGGCTCCAGCCTCACGCCGGCTCCCTTCCACGGAGGGGGGAGGGTCAGGAAGTAGAAGGGGTGCCCAGCAAGGAAGGTTCTAGAACAGCCCAGCCAAGTCTGCCGAATCGTTCACGTAAAGTTTTTGAAAATAACTCTAGAGCAAGGGGAAAAAAAAAAAAAAAAAGCCAGCCAGCCAGCAGCTGTCGCGGTAAAGAAGTGAAGTTACTCTTGGGCGACCTCAGCGGCGCTTGGCGGGGCAGGGGCGCGGCTCGCTCTCCGCCCACCTCTCCTTCTGGTCCCGCGCCAGGGAGGCCCAGGAGCCCCGGGCGCCAGGCGCCAGCCAAGAGCGCACGGGAGGACAGCGGCCAGGCGGCTTCCTCGGTGCGCGTCCCAGGAAGCCACTGCGTTCCCGCCAGCTTAGAGACCGAGACCCCGCTGCCCGCCGGGCCTCCTGGCGCTTCCCCGCCGCGGAGCCCGATCCCGCGGCGTCCACCCGGTGCCAGGGCAGGTGATGCCGCCGGCACGCGCCGCGTCGGGAAGCGGGGTCCAGGGCGCTGTGCTGAGGGGGCTCGGCCGCCGAGGGGCCCCAGCCCGGCAGCGCGCACCGCCTGGCGCGCCACGGCCCGTGCGCCCCTCGGCCCAGCACCCAGCTCCGGGCGGGTCGCCAAATCCTAGAAACACCCAGCGAGCCAACGACTTCCTATAATAAATAAACTGCCACGGCGGGGGTCTCCGGCTGGGAGTCCGGCCCCCTCCTCCCCAAGCCCCAGCAAGCTGCTCCCCTCCCCACCCCCACCCCGCGCCGCCTCTCCAACCTCCCGGCCGCCCTAAACTCTGCCTCCTGCCCCTCCCCCTCCCTCGCCGCTTTGAAATTTCAAAGAAATCCCCTCCCCGGAGCCGAAGCCCCCCGGGCCGCGGAGATGCGGCGGTTTACGAGCCGAGAGCCCACTTTATGGCCCGGGCCGTAAAACGCAAATCCCACTCCTCCGCCCGAGACCCTCCATAAAAGTAAGGGCGCTGCGCCCCCAGGCCCCCGCCCACTCGGCGTCCAGGGGCTTGCAGGGCCGGGGGGTGCAGGGCAGGTCCCCGGGAAGGGGGCCGGGCTGCCGGCGGGGGGCTCGGCCCCGCGACGCCCGGAGCGGGCTCCCCCGGCCGCCGGGCTTTTCTCATGCAAAGCAGCGGCGGGGCGGGCCGGGGCGGGGCGCGCTGGAGGCGGGGCCTGCCCGCGCCCCGCTTCTCCTTCCCCCGCGCCCTCTTTTTGGCGAGTCTTCTCCTCCCGGGACGCCAGGCGCGGAGCAGCTGGCGGCGGGGCCCGGCCGAGGCCGGCGCAGGGGGAGGGAGGAGCGGCCGCGGCGCGCCGATCGCCCGCTCCGGACGCCCCGCGCACCGGCGCCCCCCTCCCCCGGCAGCGGAGGCCAAAGTTGGCCGCGGCCCCGCAGCGGAAGCCCGCGCCCGCCGCGCCGAGGGCCCCGGGGCCGCCCCCTCTCGCCGCCCGGTACCGTGCGCACACTTCGCTGCTCTCCGCTTCCCCCTGCCTTCCCCGCGCCGCGGCCGCCTGCTCGGTGGAGGGCGCCCCGGGCGCGCCGGGCGGGCATGGGCGGGGGCCCGGGCCGGGGCGGGCAGCCGGCGGCCGCAGCTCGCGTCCGGGCACGGCGGCTGTGAGGCGCGCGCGGGGAGCTCGCGGCTCCGGGCCCCTCCGACGCCAGCATGCGGTGCCCGGGCCCCCGCCTGTGGCTGGTCCTGCAGGTGGTGGGCTCGTGCGCCGCCATCAGCTCCATGGACCGGGAACGACCAGGCGACGGCAGGTGCCAGCTCATCGAGATCCCCATGTGCAAAGACATCGGCTACAACATGACCCGCATGCCCAACCTGATGGGCCACGAGAACCAGCGCGAGGCGGCCATCCAGCTGCACGAGTTCGCGCCGCTCGTGGAGTACGGCTGCCATAGCCACCTCCGCTTCTTCCTGTGCTCGCTGTACGCGCCCATGTGCACCGAGCAGGTCTCCACGCCCATCCCCGCCTGCCGCGTCATGTGCGAGCAGGCCCGGCTCAAGTGCTCCCCGATCATGGAGCAGTTCCACTTCCGGTGGCCCGACTCCCTGGACTGCGGCAAGCTGCCCAACAAGAACGACCCCAACTACCTGTGCATGGAGGCGCCCAGCAACGGCTCGGACGAGCCCAGCCGCGGTGGCCCGGGCCTCTCCCCGCCGCTCTACAGGCCGCCGCGGCCGCACGAGCACGCGCCCCCGGAGGGCGGCCCCGGGCGCTCCGCCGCCGCAGCTGCCGCCAATGCTGCGGGCTGCGATAACCCGGGCAAGTTCCACCACGTGCAGAAGAGCGCGGCGTGCGCGCCGCTGTGCGCGCCCAACGTGGACGTGTACTGGAGCCGCGCCGACAAGCGCTTCGCCGTGGTCTGGCTCGCCGTGTGGTCCGTGCTGTGCTTCCTGTCCAGCGCCTTCACCGTGCTCACCTTCCTCATCGACCCCGCGCGCTTCCGCTACCCCGAGCGCCCCATCATCTTCCTCTCCATGTGCTACTGCGTCTACTCCGTGGGCTACATCATCCGCCTCTTCGCCGGCGCCGAGAGCATCGCCTGCGACCGCGACAGCGGCCAGCGCTACGTGATCCAGGAGGGCCTGGAGAGCACGGGCTGCACGCTCGTGTTTCTGGTGCTCTACTACTTCGGCATGGCCAGCTCGCTGTGGTGGGTGGTGCTCACGCTCACCTGGTTCCTGGCCGCCGGCAAGAAGTGGGGCCACGAGGCCATCGAGGCCAACAGCAGTTACTTCCACCTGGCCGCTTGGGCCATCCCCGCCGTCAAGACCATCGTGGTGCTGGTCACGCGCCGGGTGGCCGGGGACGAGCTCACCGGCGTCTGCTACGTGGGCAGCATGGACGTCAGTGCCCTCACGGGCTTCGTGCTGGTCCCGCTGGCCTGCTACCTGGTGGTGGGCACCTCCTTCCTGCTGTCGGGCTTCGTGGCCCTCTTCCACATCCGCCGGGTCATGAAGACGGGCGGGGAGAACACGGACAAGCTGGAGAGGCTGATGGTGCGCATCGGGGTCTTCTCCGTGCTCTACACGGTGCCCGCCACCTGCGTCATCGCCTGCTACTTCTACGAGCGCCTCAACGTGGACTACTGGAAGGCCCTGGCCACGCAGCACAAGTGCAAGGTCAACAACCAGACGAAGCACCTGGACTGCGTCATGGCGGCCTCCATCCCGGCCGTGGAGATCTTCCTGGTGAAGGTGTCCATGCTGCTGATCATGGGCATCACCAGCGGCATGTGGGTCTGGACCGCCAAGACCCTGCAGTCCTGGCAGAGCGTGTGCGGCCGCCGGCTGAGGAGGAAGAGCCGCAGGAAGCCGGCCAGCGTCATCGCCGCCGCCGGGGGCATGTACAAAAAGGCCCACCCCCAGGGGCTCCCCGCCCCTCCGACCTGCGTGTGAGCTGGGGGCCGGCAGGCGCTCCACGCGCTCCACGCGCTCCACGCACCCGTCGCGATGTGTTTTGCTCTTTTGACGTGGACGTTAAGGAAGAGATGAGAAGCGTCCATCGTGGGATCCCGGCTGCTGTGACGCGCTGAATGTGTGTAAAGGAACTGTGGAAGCTTTCGCTCTGTGTTTGCTGGGGGAAGGCACGCCCCCAGCGAGCCCTGGTGTGGTTCGTTTCTGGCGATGGAGCCACTCTGAAGCGAGCTTCTGGCCAGAACCCCTCAACTATGAGTGCAGGAGCCCCCCACTTAAAGAGTCAGATGACTTCTCTGCAAAGTGAAGACCCCCGCCCCACTTGGCCAGTGACCCGCCCCTTCCCTGGCAGCCCCCAGGGAGGCTGCCAGCCGGACAGCCACTTGTGTGCGTGGAGGGAAGGGGGTCCCGGCCACCGCGGCCGTCTGGGGGTTCGCGGCCTCCTCGCCGGTCTGCAGCCCTAGAAGCACACGCCTTCCCATGCCGAACGTTGGCGAAATGAGACCATGTGCAATACATTCCCCTCCACAAAAATGAGAAGAGAAGCAAGTATTTTGCTGCACATAAAGACAGCAAGAGGCCTCCTCGCGCCAGAACTGAGGCCTGGCCCCGGGCGGCCCTCTACTGTCACATTTTGTGGCTTTTTAAATGGAAGCCAAGCCCACTATGCCTCGGACTGACATGTGGAAAGGCCGGGAGAGGGGCTCGCTGACTCTGTTGTCGTGAACGGAGAAGCCACTGGCTGCTCGTGTCTGCAAGAGACGGTGTTCTTCAGGCTCCACTATTTTATTAAAAATAAAAGATGTTCTTTAGTTTCCCGTAGTCCTTTGCTGTGAGCCTTCTCTGGGTGTGGAGGGAAGTCCCGCGGCCGCCGGTGGCCTTGTCCGTCCCTCCTCGGCAGACGGGCCCATGTGGCCCAGGGCGGTGTGAGTGGGTCGTGGGAGGAGGCCGCATGGGTGCTTCACGGGGCCGACCTTCCCGGGTATCGGCCATCAGTTGGCAGAGGACAGGAGGAGGCGCAGCTCCCGCTGAGCAGTCTCCACTCAGCAGCCAGTTCAGACCAAAAGGGGCCCAGCGCGTGGTCGGGACTCTCTGAGGCTGGGAACCCCCCAGGAGCAAGCTGGGCCCTGCAGCAGCCCGTGCTCTCCAGGCTCAGCTCCCACACTGCAAGCAGCTGTTGCCATTCAGAGAGGGGCAGAGCCTGAAGCCAGGGCTGTATGCCCATGGCAGAGTGCATGGGAGCGTGAGACCCCCTCACGAGAGTGGGGGTGCAGGCTCGCAGCATCCAGGAGCGGAATGGCTAGGTGGTTTGGCACAAAGTTCGGGAGACAAGCTAGCTAGGAGTGCAAAGAGGAATGCAACTTTCATGCATTGAGACGACAAAGGCATGGGTTTGAGATGTCCCTAGGTGAGACTCGGTCAGCTGCCCGTCCCCAGCGGGCTCTCACACATGCCGCACAGCACAGTCTGTGTGTGTCACCCTCCCTGCCACTCAGTGTGTGAGTCTGAGAGCTTCCGAAATGCCAGCATGGGGGGGCTGTGGGGGCTGTGTGGGGTGGCAGCACTGTGGGGTCTAAAACTTGGGACTCGCACAGCACGGGGCAGGCTTTCCAACCCAGCCCCTAGGGCCCTGCAGGGCCAGGCTGTTGGCACCTGAGCTGAGTGGGCAGCGTGTGCAGTGACACGGGGGGGAGCTGCTGTTGGCTCCTGAGCTGTGAGGGACAGCGTGTGCAGTGACAATAGCATCCCAGCAGTGTCCTGGGCATCCCAGCCCGGCCTGAGCATCCCAGCGGCATCCTGGGCATCTCAGCGGCGTCCTGGGCATCCCAGCAGAGTCCTGGGCATCCCAGCAGTGTCCTGGGCATCCTGATAGCGTCCTGGGCATCCCAGTGGTGTCCTGGGCATCCCGATGGCGTCCTGGGCATCCCAGGCCGACCTGGGTATTCCAGGGACATCCTGAGCATCCCAGCAGCGTCCTGGGCATCCTGATAGCGTCCTGGGCATCCCAGTGGTGTCCTGGGCATCCCGATGGCGTCCTGGGCATCCCAGCCCGGCCTGGGTATTCCAGGGACATCCTGAGCATCCCAGCAGAGTCCTGGGCATCCCAGCAGTGTCCTGGGCATCCTGATAGCGTCCTGGGCATCCCAGCGGCATCCTGGGCATCTCAGCGGCGTCCTGGGCATCCCAGCCCGGCCTGGGTATCCCAGGGACATCCTGAGTATCCCAGCAGCGTCCTGGGCATCCCAGTGGTGTCCTGGGCATCCTGATAGCGTCCTGAGCATCTCAGCCCGGCCGGAGCACAGACAGCACACGCCAGCTTGGCCAGCGTGCTAGCTGCTTTTGCATGTTGCACAGGGAGTGTGGAGGCCAAGCTGAGGGGAGGAGGGCAGGAATGTTGCTGCCAGAGTGAGTGCTGCTAATTAAGGAACATCCCAGAAAACAGCCCGGCAGGAGCCAGCACCAGCCGCTGCCTCACCACACTGCTCAGAAGTCACCAAGATCTGCTTTGGGAGACTCTAAGACTTTGTCAATTAAAAAAAAAAAAAAAAAAAAAGGATCCAGGGTCTCCTCTAGGAACCTTTGGTTTCTCTAGAAAGAACCTCAGTTGTGACCTCAGCAACACGACCCCCTCCTTTCCTGCTCCAAAGGGAAAGGACCCACTGGCTTACGGCGAGGCCCTCAACAGGTGTGCACCAAGGGGCCCTTTGTGGCATTTTTAGCGAATATTTGCACTTAAAAAAAAATTCTGAGAGCTGCTCCCAACACTGTTTTAAGTATTTTGGGCAGAACTACAAAGTTATCAAGGCTGTCAGATGATGAATTGGAGTGAGGGTGAGGCGCCCCGGGCACAGGTGCTGCCTTTGATGAGCTTGCCCAGCGCCTGGGAGCGCCTCTCCCGTCCCGTCTCCCGTCCCCAGCTGCCTTCTGCCTGCCAGCCTCCCCCGGCCCTGGGGGCAGCAGCTCAACTTACCCCCACTGTCACTCCCCCTCTGCGGCTCCCAGCTGTTCCAGCTGCTGCAACACTGGGCTTTGGGGTCTCTGAAGGAGTCGGTGGGCGGCCAGGTCAGTGTCCCTCGTGGGTGGGTTGGAAGAAGTGTCCCTCCAGGCTGGGAGCGGAGACTCGCCCCAGAGCTAAATGCAGAAGCAGGGGCAGCCTTACTTAAGGACTGCTCTTACTTAAGGACTTTCTCAGCATGCAGGAAAGGTGAGCTCAGCGCGAGGTTCTAAATCGTGGTTCTGAAGACCCCGGTCCAGACAGATAAAAGGAAGACTTAGTGGGGGAAGGTCTCCGCAGCGCAGTCTGCCTTAGAAAGGCTCGGTTCTTCCCCTGCGAAGTCCCCAGGCAGCTTCCAGGAGAGGATTTGTAGGCAGATGAAAAACAGCCTGTCCTCTGCCTGTGATGAGGTGCGGTGGGTGGAAGTTGTCATCTGGAGCTCTTGCAATCGTTTTGTGATCCTGAGGCAAAGGCCAAAACTCAACTCGGGGATGCCGGGCACGTCCAGCTGCCCAAGGAGGCCATCGGCTGCCTGCACTGCCTTAGTGTCAGCAAGCTGGGCCGCACCTGATACAGCCACGGGCTGGCCCGGGGCTCCACGAGCTCCACACATAAACAGCACCCCTGGCTGTGAGGAAGCACTGGGCCCCACGCAGTCACACTCCGCAGGTGAGGTCGAAGCTTTGGTCCGACCCCGCTCGCGCCAGCAGCGATGGAGTGGCCTGCCTCCCATGAGGATGCTCACTCCTCAGTTGCTCCTGCCGTCATTGTAAGGAGTTACGGCCCTGACACAGGCAACTGGGGCCTGAAGCAGTGGATGGGAATTCTGTGTGTCTGTGTGTGTGTGTTCAAATTGCAAATTCAAGAATATTTGCTGTAGTGAATTCTGTTTTTTGAAAAGTTTTGCTTTTTTGGAATCCCACACAATAAGATGAAATTGCTGCAACCATGATTAGGAAGGAATGTCATCTGTCAGGTAGTAACCTCGAGTATAAAAGAGCAATAACTAAAACAGACCAATGACCGGAGCAAAATGTAAAACGCAAATGCACTTGGGGCTTCAGTTCAAACAAATACGGGCCATGAGCTCCATGGAGAGTACTTGGCAGTGTGCGGGAAGTTCCGCCAGATCCCTTCCTCACATCCTTGATCCAAACTAAACATGTCCATGGGAAACAGTGCTGCCACTGGGGGAAATGAGTGCTGGGACTCTGCCTCAGTGACTGAGGATTGTTCATTTGTGGGCAAAAGTCATCTGAAGGTGACATCAAAGCCATCCTTAAAACGCGTGATTGCATACGTGAGAGTGTCAAGTGCTGGGAAGCAAACATATTTTTAAAAAGAAATACAAACTCATTATAAACAAAATTAAAAATTGAATATGCTGGTTCCTTATCTGGGTCTGTGAATATGCAATCATTAGGAGATACATTGGAAGGCCTGCACGGCTCCCCCACCCTAACCCTAACCCTAACACGGCTCCCCCAGCACAGCCCAAGAGTGCATGTGCCAGGGCACAATAGCCCCGTCTTCCACGTGGGTGCTTTGTCTTCAAAACCCAGAAACACCTAGGTGGGCCCCAGCGGCTGAGAGCCAGCCCTAGGTGGCAAAAGCAGGAATGCCAGGTGGGTCTTCCAGCTAGGGGGCAAGTGCAGCCTCTAGCACTCATTGTCCATCCAGTAAGTCCACTCCCCCAAAGCGTCTTGAAAAGTGGGGCAGCCTCCCCGGAGCCAGTAAGCAGGTGATTGCTCCCTTTAACCAGGACAGCGTGCAGCATGAGGCTGGGGGGCTCGCGCAGGAGGCAGGTGCCCTCTTTGCCAGCATGGCAGCTGTTGGGCACTCGGGACATCACAGTGTTGTTCCTGGTACCAGCTACACAGCCCAGATGGTGCGACACCAGCCTGACTCAGAAAATGCACATATATCCTTGGAAGGACAAGCCGCTCACGGGCCATCAGCTGTCAGGGAGTCGCCAGGTCACCCCCACCTGTTTGTTTCTGACAATAAGTGCGTCCTGTGTGGATGGACGGCAAGCAGGCCGCAGGTGCCAGATGAAGAGAGATGGAAAACTGGCAGAAAATGCAGAGATGGCCAGAGAAGCTGAAGAGGTGGATGGCAGATACACGTGGCCTGCTGCGACCCACGAGGGCATGTGATCTGCTGACCCTGGCCGCATCCTGGGGCCTCTGTTGCAACTGGCCTGGGGTCTCTGCTGCGGTTCTTCACCCCCTGCACATTTAGGGGCTGCATATCCTGCCCCCCAGCCACATACACACAATATGGCGGCACACGCTCACACACAGTCCCATGCAGCTTTCCCCACACGCAGTGTCATACACGCACGCGTGCGGCGTGCCACCCTCCGGGCCCCTGTGCTGTGTCGTGTGTACCTGTATGCAGCCAGCAGCTCTGCCTAGCCCATAGTGAGTTTTCAGGGGCCACTGCCCCAAGAGGCTGGAACTGAGGCTGCCAGAGCCCCCCACCCCTGCCCAGGAGGGATCCTTCACGTCAAGGCTTGGGCAGGGAGCTCAGGCTGAGGCCGGCCCCTGCAGGAGCGGCGAAGCCCCCGTGGCCGCCCTCTGCACTGGGCAGAGGACCCAGGAGAAAAGGGACAGGGGCTTCCTCTCATCAGCTGCCTGCCTGCCTGACGCCTTCCATCTTTTGTTTTCGGGTGAAAAGCCTCCGAAGTGGTCCTGGGAGCAGATGGACTCCCCCCCCGCAGCCATGGCTCCGCAGCTCCTGGAGGCTGCCAGCCGTGTCCCTCAGAGCCCCGGTGTGGGCCCTGGGCCCACGGGGGACACGTTCCGTGGGCAGGGTGTG